ATAATACTTTCAACTCAAGTTAGTTATGTCTTACTTGCTTGAGAAATTTTAACAGCTGGTCACCATAAGACATTGGCGCCCTATTTTTTATGTTAAGCAAAAATAAGTATATATTAACAAACAATATTCCACATCGAGTAGAGTCAATAGCTGGAAGTCGCTATTGAGCTCGTTAATTGAACTGATTTTAGTACAGGTACTACAATTTATATGAAAAATAGAAAATGTCCTTTTTTCCTTGATTTTAATTGGTTAAAAACAGAGCTTCTCGATATGCACAAGTTGAGACGCACTTCCGTAGAGGCCCCATTGGGAGCCGTACCCTTGCACGATAAAAAATGATAAAATATTACAAAATATTACGCAATATTACGAAATGCAAAATTATGGCTTATATTTAAGTAGGTAAACAAGTTTGCGGCGCCACACTGGCGGCACGTATTTTTATTATTTGCATATTTAATTGCATCTACTTATTCAAACGTAATTCTCGGGTTTTTCCAGCTCAAGTTTGTTTTTTTATTAATTTATAATACGTGATAAAATTAGCAAACAGGTAAAACATTTGTGTCATTAAAAAACTCATTTGTTATTTAATTTAATTTGCACATTAATACTCAAAACATATTTTGTTTTTGTTCATTAAATGACTCATTTGGTATTTAATTTTTGATTAGCTTATTAATATTCGAAACCGAAATTAACTTGGTAATCTTGTTTTTAATTATTGGATTTTTTACTTGGGCAGCGAAAATCGCTGAAAGACGAACACTTTTAACACAGAATGGCAAATGAAAGCTGAATCAGCCCAAATCTCTTCTCTACAAAAACCAATTGAGATTTTAAACGCCAATTTCATTGCTCTGACAAATTCCGATCTAAATAAAGCCTCATCTAACATGGCAATCTCACAGACTACCCCAGATTACGCCTGCAAGAGAAGGAGAACTTTCTCATTATCAACCTCATTACAATCAAGTCCGGTTCCAAATGCCGAGCCAATGGATGATGATAATCGTCCCCCCTCTCCCGCTGTGGCTAACGATTTTCCTCCTCTGTCAACTCATACCGACTTAAATACTTTAACTTATTTTCCCCAGACGAAAAAACCTCCTCCTACTCTCGTCAGACCTTCACTGGTCAACGTCGTATCTGGATCCAACGTTTTAAAGAACTATATTCCACCAGCTCAACCAATTCCGTCCACATCTTCGAGCGTAGCCCCAGCTCGCCATCACGACCGCAGGACTCACCTTCACAAAAGCTACCAACATCCAGGATGGCGTAAAATTCTTTCTGGCCTCAAGCGACGATTATCGCAGTATCACTAAATTCCTCTCCCGGAAGAAAAGACGGTACAGGTTGTAATCAGAGGCCTTCCAATTGAAATAGACATTTCCGATATCAAAAAAGATCTGGCCGAACACAACTATCACTCCACGACTGTCACCAGAATGCGCAGAGGGCAAAACAAGACTGAAATGCCCCTTGTTCTAGTCAAAGTTCCCCCGGAGGAAGATCGCATTTTTAACCTGGTATACCTGTGTAGGCTAAAAATCAAAGTCGAGCCGCTTGAGAGAAAAAACACCAAAACCCAGTGCTACCGCTGCCAGAAGTTTGGCCACACACAAACCAAATGCACTGCCTTTCCGCGCTGCGTAAAGTGCGCCGGAGAGCACCAAGCGTGGGAATGTTCAAAGCCACGTGACGTCCCCCCTAAATACGCCAACTGTGGAGGCCCGCACACCGCTAATGCACCCATCTGCGTTAAAAGTCCAAATGTCAAAGCCGCCCCCTCCGCCCCACCGGCTGTCGCACAACCAAACACACAATCTACCATTACCATGCAATCTACACAAACCAAGTCGTACAGTCATGCTCTAAATCCGTTATCTAAGCCGTTTCCAACGCCAGCTATGCAAAATTCAAATCTCAATCTAGGCCCAGATCTCTCTTTCTTACTGTCTACGCTTATAACATCAATAAAAGGACTCACCACCAAAATGGACGCACAATTTAGAGCTCAAGACGTTTCAATATCCTAACTAAGTCCATTGCCTCACGCTTTAACTAATGCCACAAAACCAAAAAGTTAATGGCATCAGAGCCAGAAAACTCGAGATAGAGGCCTTAATTGCTGAACACCACCCCAGCAGAAGGTCGCTCATTACCGAAACCAGAATAAAAAGCGATTTTACAGTAAAGCTACAGTAAGCCACGGCCTTCTCTGAACGGGGGCGGCGGAGTTCTAATTCTGGTCAAAAATTCCTTACCACACTGTTCTTGTCCAAATTCACTGAATACAATGCTCGAGCACACAGCAGTCTACGTCGAAACAAACTTTGTGAACCGTCTTAAAGTTTCGGTTGGCTACCTTCCGCCCGGTCTCCGCTTCCCCGAAGATGATTTTGTTTCTGCCCTTACTGAGGATATCCCCATATATTTCGCTGGTGATTTCAATTCCAAGCATCCATCATGGAATAGTTTAAATCCTAACCGAAATAGAAGTAAGTTATACAACCTGGCCATGGCTTCTGCATGGGACATGCTGGCCCTAGTCACCCTATCACCATCCTAATGTTCTCGATATGGCCCGGCCGGGCTCTTCTTCCGACCACAGCCCCGTATTATTTCACTTAGGCCCTCTTCAACCTCTAAACCATCAGAGATACATTCGTAAAACGAACTGGACAAGATTCCACAACATTCTTTCTTCCTGTGCCATCTTTTCACCCCTTCCAACGTCTCCCGATTTGGTCGATTCCTTGGCTGAAACTATCGCCACCCAAATACACTTAGCTTTGCAAACCACCTCTATAAAATCGTCTTGCCCTTACGAAATTCCTCAAAGCATAAAAAATCTGATACACACAAAATTGATTTTGAATAAAATTAAATAAAATAACATTTTTTGGAGATAAATCTTTTTTGTTCATTATGCTTTTTACTATATAAAAAAGTGATTTTTGGCTAACCCTGTATAAATCTAATGAAGTGCTCAGTATGAAAACAGTATTCTCCAAGTCTCGTTAACAATATACTCCAATATTATAAAAATCGGTGTACAAATGTGTACTCTGTCAAAGGTAAGATAAACAAAAATTTAAAATAAAATTAAGAATTTTCAAATATTTCGAAAAGAGGATCAGCTAGGATTTTGGTAAATATAATTTTAAAGTTTCCAAAGGGTCCCGAACAAGAAACTGCAATCAAAAATCGGTGTACAAATGTGTACTCTGACAAAGGTGGACTTTGCGATAAACAAATAATTAAAAAAAATGATTTTTTAACAAATTTAAAAAAAAAATCAGTTATAATTTTGGTAAATATCATTTTAAATCTCCAAAGAGTGCCGATCAAAAAACTAACCAGTTTTTCGTTCAAACTTGAAAACTACTAAAAATCCTAAATTAAACAACATTTTAAATATTCTCTAAGCGTTATTTTATTTTATTAAAAATCTATTTTTTTATAAAAGGTTAATAAGAATGCCATTTTGTAACCTGACCCAGATAGCAATCGTGCGTAGGTCGCACGGCGTGAGAACGCACACGTGTGGTCGATTTCACACGCATATGAGTAGCCTAGTCGTGCGCGCCCACGCGATGAGCGCAGTATGAGCGCACGACGTGATTAATGATCTCTTACACTGTGCTTATCGGCAGTGATGCCAGATTCTATAAAAAAACAGTAGATTTCGTTTTTATTCACCTTATAATTACACAACAATCAATATTAATGAAATAACGTAAAATTGCAATTTGCATTGTTTCACTAGGTAAATTCAATTAAAATGACATGCATCAACTGCAATGGGGTTGTGTTTGTATTGTATTTATTTTTCTATTGTGTTTGTTGTGTCCACGTGTTATTATAGTTAGGTATAAATTGATAAAAGTTATTAAGGATTTCAGATAAGTGTGAAAAATATAAAGATTAAATCATAACAAGCATTTTCCCATCATAATTGATCTTGGGATTCTTGGGATTTCACAATAATTTAAATTATGAACCTGTGCATTTTTAGTTACTTTAAGATTTTTATTTGCTTTAGGATTTTGTGATTTTACTTTTGTGATTATTTAGTTTAGTATTTTTAAAATCACTTGATTAATTGATCATCTGCTTTTTTATTTACATTAAGATTTTTTTATTTTACGTTTGTGATATTTATTTACTTTTTTAACACGTTAACTGCCATGTGTCACGGTAGGGCTTAAGTAATTTAAATGCAAGTTGAAAGCAACTCAAAATTTTTTTGCGGAGTATGTTTTATTGTGTTATTAGAAGTCAAAATATCGGAAAATTAAAATCGCAAATCAGCCCGTTTCTTTTTTTTTAACCAAATTACGATTTTTTTTAAATGACAATAAAATGTAATAACCAAATTACGATTTTTTTAAAATGACATTTAAATGTAATATCTACATATATACAAAATGATTAAAAAATAAATAAATGTGTGTATAATATAAAATCAATAAAAATATCTATTTTCAACATAAAACAGTTTATTTTTGCTAACAAAAATAACAAACGACCAAACCATCAGTATAAGTAATACAATTAAAAACATCAAAATAAATCATTAAATTATAAATAATCACACATGTTGACTGTCATATTCACAGGTAGCTCTTAATAATCTCTCACCGAAATCTGGATGATTTTTTTTAACTTTGTATTTATTCCAAGTCACTTTGAAATCTGCGTGTACCGACTCCATTGCCTGCTCACTATAATATCCCAATGCTTTATTATTTTTATGACAAAAATACTCTACATGCCAGAATACAGCATGAACCTTTGGGGTTATATTGATATTTAAACTTAAATAACTAATTCGAACATCAGTAATATTTTTCTTATAATGTGGTTTTAACGTTTCACCAAAACAGGAATCAATTACCTTTCCAAATTTAGATAAACAATTTGCGAATGGTAAACAGCCAATATTATAGCTATTTGAGTTTCTCAAAATGTCAACATTTTTCAACAACTTAGCGCATCCATTTCCGTCCTCCGTTGGTTATTACTCTCGATAAACCGCATTCTACTGCCCATTTTAGAGCATCATTTATGTATAAAGCTTCCATTTTTTCGAAAATTGTGTTAACCACCCCTAGCACAAGGTGCAATTCTGGCGGTGGAAATACATCGATGATTAATGTATCAGGGTTTTCTTTGATTATTGGCATGTTAACGCAGCATTTAAACTCTTTAGAATTTTTCTTATCGCGTCCACTGGCTTCCCATTCTCTATAATTTTTTATAATACTTCGCATTCGCATAATTTAACTTTTGAAATCTCACACCAACTACATGGATATAAAGAAGAGTGCGGCATCAAACCTAAGAGAATGTTAATCAATTTTAAATCACTTGCTATAGTATACCGAAACTTATTACAGGAAAAATTAATTTTGTTACATAATGTATTACTGTTTGCATAATTTTCTTGAGTATCGCTGACTATGCCCAATATAAATAATTTCTTAACGCCGGTTTCTTTGAATTTTTTTGCTACGATTCCATCTTTGAAATTTTGACGTCGAGATTTTGCCTTTGTGCCTTCATAATATGATTCGTCCACGGTCTCATTATTGATTAGATTCAAAGAAACACATAGTTTCAAAAATCCGCCACCTCCGTCAAGACCAAGTTTGATGTGACTGCGTAATTCTAATACATAATTTAAGAAATTCTCAAAATTTTTACATATTACCAATTCTTTCGTTTCTGCGTTGCTTACATCCTTAACTGTTTTAATAAAATTTTCATTTTCTACGTGGAAAAAAGAATCTAACTTGTGATTTATTTTACTGAGTTTTCGTTTTAAATTAGGCTCAAAAAGATTTCTATCCTCAGCCGCAATACGGAAAGCTTTAGAGACTTCAAGGACCTTATTTGTGCTAATACCACAATTAGTTTGATTGGACACTGCAGCAGCAGAAATCTGTTTTATTTCTTTTTTATTTTCTGGACGTACAGCAACACATAATGGTTTACCACGTATTTGAGATAATGAAAAGGTATTAGGGCACTCAGGTTCACCATTACAATTAGAGTTGACATTTTTTTTAATTAGTTCACACACTAAATGTTGTTGAAAGGATTCTGATAAAGTGTTTTCGACACTTCCTTTAATATTATTATGTTGCTGCAGAACAAGAATGTCTCTTACCTTTAACCGAAAAGCACTTAGAACAACGTTTTCCCCGCATTTATTTTTTTTCGTCTGGATTTTTTCATGATCAGTCCTTTTTGTTGGGCTAAACGACATAAAGTACAATTGCAAAGTTTTCCATCTCTCGACCTAGTCTCTTTGTTTGGAAAAGTGAACTGAATAATCCGGTAAGCTTATTTTTATACCACTTATTTCTTTCGCTTGAAAAACTCTGATTCTACAATTAGTGCATATTGCATCAGGTAAACGTTCGTCTTGTGGATCATACGCAACTTGTTTCAGAATTAAATTCTGCACATTCTCACTAATATGAAACACGATTTTAGTTTTTCTTTTGCATAGTAAACAAATTTTTGATCGATTTTCACTATGAGAACACGCGTTATCTATAATTCGATTTACAGTGGACATTTTTGACTTAAATTAAAAGTAAATTTTCATCTGCAACTGTCACTTGCTTTCTATTAATATTTTATTCAACAAATACGTCAAAAGTAAAATGAAGTAATCGTTAATCACAGTTTTTATGAATATGACATATATTTAAGCACACATACTGTGTATATATGTATATGTATGTGCATATTAACATATTGCAGTCCCAAAAACATACTTATGGTGTGTGTGTATATACACAGTTATTTATTTCAATTATTTTTTATTTACATTTAAATGTCATTTTTTTTAAATCGTAATTTGGTTAAAAAAAAAGAAACGGGCTGATTTGCGATTTTGATTTTCCGATATTTTGACTTCTAATAATACAATAAAACATACTCCGCGAGAAAATTTAGAGTTGCTTTCAACTTGCATTTAAATTACTTAAGCCCTACCGTGGTGTATGAAAAAGTATACACTCGAGTTGGGTCTAGTGCGCCATGTGTATGATTTTGTATACACGCACAATAAAATTATTTCACCTACGTGTATGTGAATAGAGGATCCTGAACATGGGTTTTATATGTTAAAATGGTTGTCGTGGCCTGGATGTACACTGGTATTCACAGCCAAAATTTGTATTAACAATTTTTAAGATGGCAAACCCTTCATTCAAAAATATATAATGTCAAAAAATGAGCCAAAAATTAATTATTTTTGAAGTCGATGATGAAAATGGAAAAAAGAATTTAATCCTATTAATGATTTGACAGACAATATTTGTCAATATTTTTATAAAATGTGTATGTATTTCAATTTATACACGTGGCGCAAATGTACATTTTTGCAATCCTACGCCGCGGCGCGCCGCGTGTATGATATAGTCGCACGGGGGTAGAAGGGATTCCTTTTTCGAAAAATAATAAAAAAAATGTGCTATTGTATTATAACACCGGTGGCATATTTTTATTAGGAATTAAATGATAAAAAACATTGTGGCCCAGCTGACCCCACTTGAAAAAAACTCACGGCAGTTAACGTGTTAAAGTGATTTTGATTAAAATCTGCATTTTTATTTACTTTTTCCCTTTACTAGCCTATCTATAAAAACCGACAACACGGAGCAGATCCCTGAAAACCTCCAATACATATAACGCCTTGGAAACCTAAAACAGAATATATATTTATATATATCAACGGGTTTAAGGCAGAATGGCACAAACGCCAAAATTTTAAAAAAAATTGTTATAGCTCTAGCTAGAGAATTTAATTCTCTATCAGCCTGTACTTCTAACAATTTTTCGATAAATTTGGCGCTTGTGCCATTTTGCATTAAACCCGTCGTTATATATGCATTTCCTTTTGAAATATACAACTTTTTTGACCTAGGTATTCATTGCGCTGGAAATGCGTCGGCACAAGTGCGCTTTAAATGCGCCGGCACACGTGCGCTGCATATGAGACGCATATCTAAGCGCATCTGTGTAGTGATCTGCGCGCACGCATGCCGTTTAAAGACGCACGCGTGCACTCACTGTGCACGCATCGTGACTACATTTTGTTATCTGGGGATAAACGTAGAAATATCTAAAAAAAAAATGGGGATAAATCTTTTTTGCGTGTTATGCCGAAATCATGAATTTACGCTTTTGCTTTATTAAATATAAGCGATTTTTGGCTCACCCTGTATATATCAAATGATGTGAACAGTATTAAAAAGTATTCTTTAAGTCTCCCCAATACTATACTCTAATTTTATAAAAATCGGTTTACAAATGTGTATTCTGTCAAAGGTAGACTTTGAAATAAACAAAAATTTAAAAAAAAATCATGAATTTTCAAAAAATTTCGAAAAGAGGAGCAGCTAGGATTTTGGTAAATAGCTAGGAACTGCAATCAGTTTTTGGCATTTTTATGTGACTTAAACTTGGTTCAGGCAAACCGTGGGGTACTAAAATATTTACAATATAATTAAGGGTTCAGTCCCCACAAACCTTATCATCCATGTTCTTTAAATGTGTGTTTTTAAATATTATTGCACTTCTCATCTATTTCAGAACAACTCGGTTTTATTTTTTTGTTTGCATTAAAATTATTTTTAAACCTTTGTGTATCATAAACCACTTGGTACCACTTAAGTGGCACTTATCAAGCAATTTGGTAAAATCAACATTCATGTTTAAGCTAAGACTTAAGCACACACCTCTTTTTAAAGTTTACAGGCACGACTGAAATTTTGGTTTATACAATACTCTTTTTTATATTAAAATATTGGTAACAGGTTTTGACTTGTTTACAGATGGTTGATATAACTATACAGGGTTAATACAATATTTAGTTTATGATTCGTGTTTACTCCCCTTTCTAGGAACATAAACTATTGTAGGATATTCACTGGGTAATAAATTTATTCAAATTCTAAGCGATTCAGGTGTGTTTTGCTTTAAATCAAGTACTAAATAGCCGTGAGCTTGATTCGTTGCACCATAATATGCGTCTTAAATAAATCGGGAATTTTCAGGGTATACTTACCATCACATACCCACTTACTAATTAAAAGTAGAATCTTCTACGGGCACTTCTTTCAGTAATTACCATTTTATCTGGGTGGCACGTTTTTTTGGCTTTAAGAATCTTATAATAAGGTGGTAAAATGTCATATCCAAAATCCTTTAAGGCATTTCTAAATACTTCATATTAATGCTTTGACAATTGGACATCCGTTATTAACGCCAAAGCCTGTTCAATTGGCATATACTTTTTTTCGCAACATTTTCTGGGGATTTCGCACCTGCAGATAAAAGGTCTGATTTAATGGATTCTCGTTTAACCTTATACACGCTTATCACAATCCAAAAAATGCTTTTTTGATCTTCCAAAACCTGATGAACCTGGTTGTGATAAAACTTTATTAAATTCAATTGGTTTTTCAACCATTTTTAATGTTTAATTTTTAACACCGATGTGATAACAATCGCTTTGTCTTAAATTAACATAAAAAGTTCGGTTTAATTTTTTTCATAACAAATTTTAAATTTGCTTTTACTATTTATGTAAAATAGTATTAAGTTATAAATTCTTATTATTATTAATAAATTATTATTTATTATTAATTAATTTATAAAATATTTTTCCTTTAAAGATGCGACAATGCCTAAGTTAGGTACGAGCTACCGAGATTTAGACATGCATCGCTTATTTTTTGTGTGCTTGTAAAGTAAAGTTTACTGAACAACCTTAAGTGGATATCATCCTATAAATCGTAGTTAAATGCCTATATGAAATTTGTTTGTCTTAATTTTACCAATGTGTTTTTAAAACATTAAAACTCTTAATTTTCTATCAAAATGGGGCTTTAGGTTAAGTTTTCTTTTTAGTATTACTTTACTCATTCTGCCAAAGCACGCCTGTAATTGGCTTCTTTATTTAATTAATAATTAATTAAGGGTGAGTCAGATCTAAAAACGCCAAAGGTCTTTTCTTCTGCTTTTTGGCTCTACTATACCCCCTAGAAATTGCAAGAGTTATTTAATTTTTAAGGCCGGCAATGAGAGCGCAGTGTTTATGGGATAAATATAAGGGTAAATGTAATAAGAATTTAGCAGCATTATCTAATAAATACTTCGACGATAATTTAAATAACATTAAAAAAACATCTTATATATTAAACGTAGAAAATACAGGGGTTGAGTAACATTTTTAATGACAAAGAACAGACAATATTGTGATTGTAAATATAAATAAATGTGATATTGTAATTACAATACTTTTTGTCCTTTATTATTAAAAATGTTAGTTAATCCTTCTTTCACTGGCTCCTTTAATTTACACTGTAGGGAGGTGAAAATATCACAAGTAAACGCTCGGACACGTAAACTTTTTTTTGATCGTAGATTACAAATCCATGCTTGGTTTAGCTGTATCAGGTTAAAATTTAAAGATATTGGAAACACCCTGTATAAATTTAATCACCCTGTATACATTAAAAAATAATAATTTGGCTGGACCCACAAATTAGTTCCAAATTAAAAAAAAAACCAATTCTTGCAAAATTTGAAGTTAATTGACCAAAAGTAACACGGTTTTTTATAGTTAATTTAAGAAATTCAAAATATTTTTTGCTAATTTTTTTTATTGAGTATAATTGAGGATATTAAATTAATTGAAATAAAAAGCATAAGAATATTGGTAAAAGAGGTGAAATATATTAATTAACAAATTATAATATACCAGTATACAGTGTGTCCCCGGATCGGATTTCCGACAGGAAAAACTTTTTTAGACCTGATACAGCTAAACCGAGCACGGATTTGGAATCTACGACCAAAAATTATATTTACGTGTCCGAACGTTTAGCTAGAGTTGAAAATTTACCTACAGTGTTATTATTGCTGAATATTTGGATTTTGCAAATATAAATAACAATTTCTAGTATAAGCAGCCATTTAACCCTTAGCGCGCCCAATTCGGCTCCCACAATTAAGCGCGTGGGGTAATTTTGATCCCATGCTATTTTTTTTTATTAATTTGTATTTTTTTTTTAATTTCCTGGAATATTTTTACAAAATATGATGACTTAATATTGATTAATATTACCTTTATCAAAGAACAAAAGATTTTCCAATTACAAAATTAACAAAAGAAATATTTTTCAGTCATTATTTACCACATTTGATAAAAAAAGAAGCTGGAGTAAAGATCGCAAATGAATTTTTCAC